GCCCACACCTCTACGTGTTTACTCACACCCTACTATGAAAGCGCATCAGCTTATATAGCGATGAATTTCGACTGACCTGAGTGGCACAGGTTACAAGTACGTTTTCTTACACTTTTTTTACGTTTTTGTATCGATACCACAACATGCGCACACGTAAATATATTGTACCTGATGGTTAGGCAAACCTTAGTTAATCAATGATTGCACAATAATGAACGGAATAATTACTAGAGCTTATCAGGTTTTCACGAAGACAAATACCCCAAAGCCCACGGCATTTCGAACGCTGCGCCATCTATCGACCACTGCCACAGTTACTTTTTTTTTCTTGAAGCCTCTGAGAGTGCAAACACTTGCCGCGCGTTAGCCATTTCGGAGGTCACGTTTTTTTTTCTTCTTGTTACTTGGAGAGGGCGCAGCATGCAGACCAAACTTAGTCTCCGTCGTGGTAGGTGTTCTGTGGTCACGTCGACCTCGTTTAGTTGTTTCGTCTTAACGTTTGCTTATATTCTTTTTACGTGCGTACCACAAGTGTGACCGTTAGCCATGGATATAGTACACCACTAGCCCTTCAACGACAATGTTTTTGACGCGGTAACGACCGTCCTAGCAGTGTATACGTACGTTACAACGCGGCTCTTGCGAGAGAAATAAGCGATGACCTCGCATCCGACGGTATTTTTTCGTGAGCTATGACAGTGGCTGTTGGCGTCGCGACAGCTCTCATACTTGAGTGGAGGAACTTTCGCTGCAGTGCGCAAGTTTACTATAACTTTATAGAATGTTGTGCCTGCATACTTTTCTGCTTCAGATGCCTCTCGCGATTCGCCTCGCGTGTCAACTTGCAATCATAGTGCGTGCCACAATTTTGTTGTTAGCGCTGTGGCTGTGGTGGTTATTACTCTGGATTCGGAATACTCTTTTCACAAAGGTGAGTGAGCGTTAGTACTTACTTGCTGTGCACAGCTGTTATTAGAAGTGCATTTTGTGTTGAGTTTCTCGCGACAAAGGAGAATCATGGACGAGAAAGGCATACTGCTCGCGTGCATAATTCCTTCCTACTTCTCAGTGCTGGCATGGACAATTCAAAACCAATGCGATTGAGAATTTGGTTTAACCTACAGAAGTCATTGGTTCACTTTTCACAAAAGTTTAGTTATGATGATGTTTAAAATGTTTCTGATGGTTGTAATCTAGTCTGGCGAATAAACGCTCGGTGAAACTTCGCAGCCTGTTTCCCTTTGTGCTTTCACCTGCTGTGGTAGCATAGCCTTATTGGGTGTCGTGTGACTATGCTGGAGGACGCAGGTTCGACTTCCGGCCACGGCGGCCGTATTCGAATGGGGGTAAACTGCAAAGAACATCCATATGGCGGTAGTGGCACGTATAACTCTATCAATTGTATATGATCGTACTTTCACGCATGGACTGTAGAGTGGTATCAGGTTTCCTACAATGTTGAAAAAATAAGTGTGATGCTTTTTTACGCGCCTCGTTGAATTCATGAGTGCTGTTGGTGCCGTGCGAAACTAAAAATGCGTGGGCTTACCAAGTAGGTTGACACCAAAAAAATTCATTATTTTTTTTTACACTCTAAGGTAATCAATAAAGCAAGACTGCTTGGGAAGCAGAGCTCCTTGTATTCGTGACAAATTGGTAGTATGAAACAACACGAGACACACATGGAAGTGTGCGGAGCATCGTGCGAGTGCCTGACGATAAAAAAAGAGAGGCTTTTACTTTACACTAATAAAACAAAAGAAAACGTCACTCCTGCATTGCTTACAACAATTTTAGGTAAAAGCAATCGCTCGCGACTGGCCGCAGCCGGCTATAGGCATGGCGTGCACATGCGCGCGAGCAAGACCCCCGTGATTGAGGAGAAACTTGAACGCTGAAGGAGGAACGTTGCTCCTTTGGTCCTTGCCGCGAGAGGGCGCGACGGGTAAAGCGCCCGAAAGGGAGGAAGTCGCTGCACCGAAGGAGAAACGGAGCCTGTTTCTCCATTCTCGCTCCCTTTTTTTTTAGAGTGTAGGCTTATATAAACGGCTACCCCACAGGGAGGTACATCTCGCCAGGTCGGGCCCGGGATCGCAATTAGATTCTGGACCACATGTGCTAGGCGGCGAAAGCCACTGGAGCCCATAGACCAAGGGTACCACACAATTAGCTCTTGAAATTCCCTTTACCCCCCCCCCCCCCCCCTCATCCAATGTCTCGTTCTTCTAGCCAGACCTGACCGGCAATTGTTGCGCCCGACTCTACGTTTACCAAGTGTCACTTAGGCCAGTTTTCCTCGGATAAATTGAAGGAATAACCGAAACTTCCTTGCGAACCATCCGCGCACCTTCTGGAAGCACCATCTGTCCAGCGCCCCGCGGGGAAACTTCTCATTCCATTCTCTGCGTGAGCTGTTATTATTTTTTTTTTTCGCTGCAGATGCACAGTGAAAGGCGATGTCTCATGATCTGCATCGCCCACTTTATTACATTCCGCACACAATGGCGAGGTAGTAACCCTTACATTAAACGTGTTCGCATTGTCCTTCCTGTGGAGCGAAGGCATGTTGTTAAAAATAATTCATTGCGCCTGGACATGTCCTCTACGCCGCAACGCTTTTTCACCGCAGCAACAGTGTCAAGGTCGGTGCAGCAGAGGCAGATGCTTGCAGAGTCTGCCGTTAATGGAACTAATTGCACAAGCCCTTCTCATCCGTATTTTAATTTCGCAGAAAATTCCAGCGAACGCCGCGCGCAAACATCGCAAGCCCCTACGAGATCACCGCCTTTTATTAGCGGTGTACCACGTAGCGCAACAGGTGGAAGGGGTGAATGATGAGGGCTTAGTGTACGGTGGGAGAAATTGATCGTCTAGGAACACCTGCCCTGCAAGGCTTACGTCACCCGACCGGCGTATGGATTGTGAAATGTGGGAACACCTGTCCTGCGTGCGGATTGTGAAATGACGCCGAGGTATGTATGTACAGCTGGAAACAACAGGGAGGAGCCGGGATGGGCCCATCTCGTGTATGATCGTTGCCGTGCGAGCAAATATTGGAAATACTTAAATTGGACCGGCGCGATATAGCTAACCTTTCCCACGCTTCGTAAATGAAGAGGAGGAAAAATTGCGAATACGACTTTTAACGGTGGAGTATGAAGTGATGTGATGTGGCCTCTTCTGTGACCTTAGGAACATGGCAGTGGTAGCTGATATACGTAAGAGCACTGTCACGTTGTAACGAGGCGTACGACGACACGTCTTCGTGCTTTAGGGCGACTACGGGTAACGCTCTTGTATCGCGTAAACCAGGGATTAAAACTTCCTTTTTCACCGTGTTCAAACGCGATAGCGTTAAGGAGTTCGTTTCACAGAAACTCAGGCGTCGGTGGTTGCGAACGGAATATCATCATCTTTTGTGTAACAGATAAATCATGAAAAACTTCTGATCCGAATGGGGATCGGGCCCGGATCATTTGCATGGCATGTGGATGTTTCACTGCACGACCACGCGTCTGCTTGTGAATACAGGGAAAGTGACTTCCTTTATACGCTTGGAAATGCAGGGAAAGTAACCTTCACGCTTTTACGCGCGTTCTGTATACATTTTTCGAAATATAACCTGAAATATTGCAGTAATAATGCGTGGAACAAGCGTACGTTGCCATCGGGCGTCAGAACATGGGATTATCGTTATGACCTCATGGTTTAAAGCCGGTCACCCACTACACAAGGCGCACACGTTACTGCGCCTATTCCTTCAAGATCACGTATAGTGGGTGCATAGCAAGCTCGAAAAGATTTCGTGCACTGAGTGATTGAAGTGCGAACTAGAGACAGGATATCGCTGTTGCGTTCAAATCTTAGAGGTGAAGCTTAATTAAGGGTGCCCGAATTTTTTTTTTTTTTCGCACTTTCCTTGCCTCTCGATATTTTACGACTATAGCATGCATGCCGCAGTACATACGCGAAATGCGCGACGCGGTGTTATCTGGCCACTAACGGAGAGGAATGATTAGAAAAGCGTTTATCTTTGCAGAAATTCTGCAAGCGCCGCATGGAGTTCGAGATAAGGCCCTCAAGAAGTAGCGGGAGTATTTCGAGGAAAAAGAAGAGGGGGAGTGGTAGTCGTAGCGTGGGGGGGGGGGGGGGGGTCGCTTTTTTCTACGTTGTCGTGTCGCGCCTTTGACACGATTCTGTCTCTTTGCTCCGCCTCTTTATCGGTCTCGATCTTTGACACACGTATTGTTTGTAGGCCCTTATCACCTGTACGGTTTTCTTTGCCGCTATTTTTCTTTTATTTAGCGTGTCTTACGCCGGCTATCTTCGCGCCCTCTTTCGACACAGTTTCGTGCTTTGCGTTCACCCATACTAGCAAGATCGGTCTTCAAAAGAAGCAAAAAAAAAAAAGTTTCGGCAATGTATCACTCCGCTGTCGCACTCCCTTGTTTTCCTCCCCCTCCGTTAGTTATGTAAAAGTCGGCTTGGAGTGTTTTATTCCCACGAATGTTTGACGACAGTGTTTTCCCCAATCGCGGCACTGCTTAAGCCCTGGAAGTCGATGGAAGTGCTGTGGGACTACTTTTTACGTCGTAGTAATACGCCGAGTAACGCAGTCTCGCTGCGCTCGCCGCGATAGCGCTGCACGCGACTAGACTATGCGTGCGTGGTCAAAGCGTTATCGATTCGCTCTTGAAATCCCGGGCGACCTCCTTTTTGCTCGCGTCGCGTGGCTGTTCAACGCCTCACGTGCTGTGGTAACGGGCGTGCGACGGTTGGGTGCAGTGATGAAACGGTCACTTTCTTTCAAGGATGCACTTTTTTTTTTCTTTTCAAAGTACAGTGTGTGTGTGGTGGATTCATCTTTCACGTAGAGCAAAGAGCATTTTATGCTGACATTCATTGTTGTGTGTTGTGTGGAGTGCTGTGTGGTTTGGACTCATCGTGCCAGTGACGTTTCCTCACTCAAGCAGTGGTGGCTCTTTTTTATCCGACTACAGTATTGATCTGACGTGAGAGCAGCGGCGGCAGCAGTGGCGGCGGCGGCGGCAGCGCGCCTGCAGTACCGCTCTTAACGGTAAGCGGTCACCACATTCTGTAATTTTTTTTTCCTTTCTGCTTTTGCGCACGCGTGGTGTTTCGCAACTCTCTCGCTCTCTTTGTAGATCAAGTGGCTGTAATATTAAGCCTAGAAGAGTCGCGATGAAAGGACATGCACGCTTCAACTTTCTATCTTAATTTAGACAGTGGTGCGTGATTTGACTATTTCGGTGCAATCATAGGTATACGATGGTGGCTGCCAATACTTCGCCATTACATTCTTTTAACATATGACTTCATGGTGCGTGTTTGCGATTGGAGAATCGAGTGCACGTGGTAGTTAAAGCACGGCGGTTTTTCTTCGGAAGCGATGCTATATTTTAGGAGTACTCAGCGGCTGTAGCGAAATGAATTCATGCCCCGCCGCGGTGGTCTAGTGGCTAAGGTACTCTACTGCCGACCCGCAAGTCGCGGGATGGAATCCCTGCTGCTTCGGCTGCATTGTCGCCTCCATCGGAAATGCAGCCGCCGAAGCCGGGATTCGATCCCAGGACCTGCGGACCCGTGTGCTCAGATTTGGATGCACGTTAAAGAACCCCGGGTGGTCGAAATTTCTGGAGCCCCTCACTACGGCGTCTCTCATTATCATAGGGTGGTTTTGGGACGTTAAACCACACATATCATCGAAAGGAACTTCTTCTGTTAACGCGTTTCGACACTGCGAAGGAGAGAAAACACGGATGCCGTATCGAAGTGTACTTTCATCTAGAACAAGAACGCATTTCACGATGCCTTCGTCCGTTCATTATTTCTCGGCAAGCTGGAGCGTGCTAAACCTCAAGCTAATCGTTCTCACTAACTACAAGGTGATTTCGAAACCGCACTTGCAAGTCATTTCGGCTGCTAGTTGATGGTGTTTTCTTAAGGCCGCTGACGATTTTCCCTGCAATCAGCCGCTGGCATGAAGTGTTCTGTACAGTAAAGATGATCTCGACTACCATGTATCGAGGAAAGTCTCATCAGACGCACGTAGTGCGTAAACTATTGCGCCCAGCGCGACTTGCTATACGCGAGAGCGTGTGGCATGCATAAGAAGCATCAAGATTGTACATGGCTTCTCCTCACCCTGTTTTATACGTCTGAGTGCTGTTCACTCGTTCACCACCCCCAAACGATCACTATTGAATGAACAGCATTTAGTCTTCAAAACAAAAGCAAGTGGATGCCATGCGGGATCGTTGGGGCTCGTTTTGCCTCGTGGTCCTCCTGTGCTGCAAGCCGTACCGATCGCGTTAGTGCGTGTTTTTTTTTTCTTTTTTTCCTAAAGCCTTCTTCGATTTTTTTGACGTCAACAGTCAACGCGGGCGTAACTGCCGCTGAACTATTTTACTGCTCTAGCTTTAACTGTTTGGAGAATCTGTCCCTGAATGAGGTCGCTGAACGCCGTGTGACACTTTGCCCGCAGCAGGAAAGCTTCGCCTCAATGATGCTCGTCTGGCAACAGTGCGCAAGCGCGAACCCCGCTGTCATAGCTGCATTATGCCCGGTTCATCGCTTCGCCGCATTCCATAGACAGATCTGGGTTGGTTCGAGCTTTCGTATCCAATGCGGGCATCCATTGCACTGTTCTGAATATATTACTGCTTGCGCCTCGCTCTATTTTGTCACAGTTCTTTTTTACGTGTTTCTTTCCTGCTATCCTGTTGCTTATTTTAACTGTTCCATGCTAGAAGGCCCACTCAGGAGCCACAAGAACTCACTGAAACGCGCCCCTGGGGGAAAAAAACTGCAGTCCAAGTTACATTGTTCGCAGACTACTATGTGTGTTGAGTTGAATTAATAACTGATCGATGAAATTTGGTGCAGTTCAAGATTAAGGGAGCAGGGGGCTCGCCACCGTCGATTACCCCCTTTTGCCAAAGACGAGCGGGAGTGTGATCAAGCGTGTGCTCAGAGCGCTGATCTTCGAGGACAGCGTGCTCTTTGAGCACCTTTGAACTCCCTTGCTTCTCCCCTCCTACCCAGAGGCTCGCCGAACTTATCCCAGTGTTTTGACGCCCTCTTCACTCTTTTTTTCCTCCATTCTGCTGTGGCTATGTGCTCTGGCGAGCGCTTTCCTTCGCACTTATACACTTATACTTCAACTGACGCGCCTCAGGGCCCGTTAGTTACTCCCACTCGGCGGGTTTTTCTCTCCTGGTCTTCTTGAGCCCCGCCACGGTGGTCTAGTGGCTATAAGTTACTCGGCTGCTGACCCACAGGTCGCGGGTTCGAATGCCGGCTGTGGCGGCTGCATTTCCGATGGAGGCGGAAATGTTGTAGGCCCGTGTGCTCAGATTTGGGTTCTTGTTAAAGAACCCCAGGTGGTCGAAATTTCCGGAGCCCTCCACTACGGCGTCTCTCATAATCATATGGTGGTTTTGGGACGTTAAACCCCACATATCAATCAATAAATCTGGTCTTCTTGGCGGCCTTCCCGGTCGGTTTGCGGCTCGTGATTGTTCGGATCTACGCTGTTGAGACAGAGTCAATTCTTTTTTTTCTTTCTCTCTTCCTTCTTTCCTTACCTATATTCTTTAATTCCACTACCCATTCCCGTGTCGACCTGTTGAGATGTCATCGTAAGGATAGACAGTTACGAGCGGCACTTTTCTCTTCCTTTCACTTACATAATCACTCAGAGAGAGAGAACGAGATAAACACGGACAAAGTAGAAAACATTACAAGCAGACGAGCAGAGCAGACCAGCAATACAAGCATAGAGATATATATGGTCGCAATGTTGGTTATGGTGGGAGCTAAACTGTCTTACAGCACCCGTGACCCCGTTCGCTCCCTTTCTGTTGCCATTTGTTTGCTTGATTTCGCCGCAGTACACAACGTGCTGCGTTCTTGCAAACGCTTTTTCTTGTCTAGTGAATTGTAATCACCTCTCATGCGTATATTGAACATCGCTGAAATTTGCTAAATCAATCATTTTCATGACCAATCATGTGCGTTGCTGATTTTTATGTATTTTCTGTATTTGACATGTAACTAGCCACATAGGCTATGCGTCCAACTATTATGTACGCGTCTTTTGTATACACGATTTAATTTAACTCATCTTGATTTGACTTGGTTTGATTTGAACGTCATGTCAACTATAGTTCATCATTCTATCCCCCTGAAGCGTTCTTCACCGCACGAAGCCTGTTATTGCAGTAAAGCCAGCTTTGACGGCACATAGTTTCTATAAAAAATAGCAAGATTAAAATGGAATTGCCGCATCGATGGCCGTACATCCTTAGAATTTCTAATCCAACATCTTTGTAGGGCTATAGCTTGCAACTCTTTCGAATATATCGCAGTGTGTCAACGGCTGCCTATGTAGACGTAAATCTCTGCGCATGCGCACTTCGTTTGAGGCGAGACATTTGGACATCGCGGGTACCGCGTTGCCCGCCACGCATTTTCGTTGGAAGGCGCTCAGCGACGACGAGAAAGTAGAACGACCACACTGTGAACCAACTGCGCATGTGCTAAGCTACGTGTCATTAAAAGTAGACGTCGCTGACGGCACGGCTAGTGCGGTTTGCGCTTCCATGTTCACGCTAAGCGTGTTCAGGACTGTACTCGTACGGATGAAGTGATCGGTATATACGAGTTTATACTACGCGTGAAAGGCACCCCCCGCAACCCTTCTATGTAATTCCGAGCTGACCTACTTTTCTTCCCGCGCAACGCATGGCTGCTCCCGCGGGATGCGAGACAGCTCGCGCGTCGACGCAGCCGAGACGCCTCTCGATTCCGTACGTGCTCAATCTTGCTTGGAGAGGAAGTAAAAAAAATAAGACAGCTAGATGGCGCCGTTTTTTGCTCACGGCACGAAGGGAAAGTTACCGCTTCTTGCAAGGGCTGTATGGTCTTCGCGGTTCCTTCGGGCGCTCTCGTTCTCTTGCGCGAATGAAAGGGACAGAAAGAAAGAAAGAAAGGAAGAAGGAAAGAAAGAAGGAAAGAAAGAAAGAAAGAAAGAAAGAAAGAAAGAAAGAAAGAAAAGAAAGAAAGAAAGAAAGAAAGAAAGAAAGAAAGAAAGAAAGAAAGAAAGAATACCAGGCTGGGTGCACGCAACGGACGTTAACGGAGACGAGTGCTGATAAGAGGGTGATAAAAAAGTGCGGTCGCCGCCGCTGTGTGCACAGTTTCGGTGTATATGACACATATAAAGAGAAGGGGCCGTGGACTAACATACGGATGGGTTTCTGTGTCTCTATATTGGGATGAAGCTGGGATGTAGAATTCGGGATGTAGCTGGGATGTAGAGCTAAATAAACAGCGCCTGGGTGCATGGTAGGCGCGCACACACATAAACAAGGTTGTGCTGCACGGTGCATTAGACGAATTATTGATAATATAGGGTTCCTAAACTAGCACTCGAACGTATGTAGTGCGCGGGTGTCCTTGCATTTCGCCACCATCGAAATTCACCGGCTGCATCGTCTCTGCGGTTCTTGAAACGTTGTCACGGAGTTGTAATCAAAGCAAAAGGCCGAGTCCCTGCCTCCTTCTCCCCCCCCCCCCCTGCGCTTTAGCTACGTGCTGCTGCCAAATATGTAACGAATAGTGTTGTTCATATTGTTTAGAAAACTAGTCACTATTTTCGAATAACCCCAAAAGCAACGCTGCGAAACCGAAACTGGCGTAGGCGCCTAAAAGTTTTCTACAGTTATGGCACAAATCATGGCGACGTGATGTGAACACATCAATATACTCGTCATTCAAGTGTCGCAAACGCGTGCGGGTGATAATCCAAGGCAGTGAGAGGTATAGAAGCACGAGAAGAGGAGGCCATTTTAGGAACACTGGGGTGCAGCCTGGGACGCACGGGAATCGGGCCCAGTGCTTCCCGCACAGCATCCACTGCCGCCGCGTTAAACCTTCTGATTCGGCGAGCATCGATACTTTAATTGGTGTATTCATGTGGGAGGTTGTAATAGCCAAATACCGCACCTGTGTGGCCAGTCCTATTTTGGTGAGGTTCAAGGGCCTTATGGGACA